TTTTCAGAATTTATGTCGGTCAATAAATTCAACTTAAAAGCCAATGCGTAATGGTAAGTGACTTAGCCTTACCTCCAACTATGGTAAAAATATATGACTATTTGTGATGAAGTGTAGTAGCGATACATTTACTTCAGTGAAGCTCACCGGCAATTTCATCATTAATTTAGCTTTATTTGACAACGACAACATAAAATCAACTGAATCCCCACAATTAAACATTCAATACAAAGTGCAGGATCTTCTTGTCAATGAATAGATGTTAAGAAAGTAAACGATGGAAACAACAGGCATGTGAGGTCGAGAAACTTAAAAATAATTGTTTTTGGTTTGGCTTATGAATGGGAAATCTGGGTGTGAACATTTTTTAAACTCTGTGCTCCAAAAAAAAAAATAATTGTCTAGATAATAACAAAACAATATATTCTTAAACCGCCTCATTTTGCTTATCACTTGGCTTGATTTTGAAACAACTATCATCACTCACTTTAATTAGAGAGAAATCATAAAAGAAGAAAACTCCAGAAAGAGACTAAGTATAACCATCCACACTTCTAAAATGTTCGTCACAAACCACTGCATGGAGATGTATGCTAATTTCACCTTGACATATAAATGTAATGGAAATGAAACAGGCTTATCAAATTAAATATCCACACCTGACCTCTTATGCCATTTCATTGGAGTTAAATGAAATAGCCTTTTCTTTTATTGAATTGGCATTTTTTTTTATTATGCCATTTCATTTTTTATTTTATTTTTTTATCAAATCAAATATCCGTATGATTATCAAGAAAAAAAAAACCAAGTTTGATGGAAAAAGTTAAGTAGTGAATTTTTTTTTTGAGGTACTCAAAGGACCTTGATTGTCCAAAAGAAATTGCGGGCAGTGGCATTCACGAGATATTTGTTCTTCACACACAATATAATTTAAGACCACATAGTACTAATATTGTGGGGAAAAAAACCGTGGGAGTTTGCTTGGGATCTCTTATTGTCTATCTGACGCCACACTTCTCTATTTAGCTTCCTTAACACATCCATCTTCAATTGAACTTGATGGATTTTTTCTGAGAAATTATGCTTCAATCGTTTGTTAGAATGAAATTTCTGATATAGTGAAAGTGTTATTTGTGTGTATGTCAATATGTCATTAAGTATCACTTATAAAGTGCTCATCAAAGTCCAGAGAAATGCAATCAACATGACTGATATTGTATCAAATGCAAAAGGAGATAAAATATTATAAATACAGGACTTACCAGCAAGTGCAGCAATTTGAGTATCCTTGTTTGTATGGCTGTGTTTTTGCAATCAAGTGTAGCTAGCCTTTATTTCTTAAGATTTCCACTACAACAATTTTATGTGCTTTCCCTGCATATGTAAACATAATTAGTTGTTCAAGAAATATTATGTGGTATGTATAAGTCAGTGGAAAATCGATAAAAAGGCAACAACAAAAAACTTACCGAAGACATTGTCAAACTGCATTGCTTTCATCATTTTTTTAATTGGATAACAATGATGCTCTCCCTATAATTTTTTTCATTTTTTTTTAATATTAATCAACCTATAAGCCAAAAAAAAAATGATGGATACATAGTCTTTTTGCTATAATGGTATTTTGTTGTTTGTTTAGCTCTCTATATGTGTATATAGACCGAGTCCAGAGAAGTGCAATCAATATGATTGACATTGTTTGTCTAGTAGTATTACCAAAAACAATAGTAGAAAAAAACCTGCTTGCTCCTCGGGCAAGGTGGTCACCGCCATTAGATTGGGACTCAAGTGCACATATTATAACCAATACATGAAATGATAAGTGAAAGAACAAAATCTACCTGTTTCTTTTGAATTTATATACAAATGTTTTCTCTCGTGCAATTTATGGTACACACTACACACTAAATTAAGCAGTTAGTGTATGATAAGCCATTAATTAACATTAACAGAGCAAAATCTACCTAATGAATGTTCATATAACCGCGCATTTTAGCCACTTGTATAAACTGAGGTCACCAAAATAATTATTCGAGAAAATTATATAATAAATAAACACCGATTTAAGTTCGGATTTCTTACCTGTAACAACAATCCAAGTTAGACTGACTCAAATCAGCACTCTCGCAATGACGAAGAAGAAGAAGAATCTAGAGAAGCCGCACAACATCAACGTAGTATGCTAAGCAAAGATTAAGGTTATTTAAAAATTTATTTAAACATGAAATTACATTTGAGGCCTTTTTTTAATTGTTATGTACAATTACAAATATATCTAAAATTAAATGAAATTCTCTTCAATTAGGCTATCAATTTTAGCCAAATTGAAGAGAGAATTTTTTCTTTAAAGGCATATTCTGCTATAATAGAATATAATAGATTGAAAATTTAAATAATTTGGCATAAATTTCATTGCAAAGTTTTACTATTCGCTATTTTGATGTTTCCCCATTTTTTTTGACTTGTTTAATTTTTGTGAGAACCTTCCAATTATATCTGCATTGTAATTCTTACCAAAGCATTTGCCCTTGTTTCGTGATAAGCAATAGGTTGATATATCTGAAAACTACATCAAATCAAAAATATTTATAGAAAAATTGTTAATAATTTCCTCAATGGGTGTAATTAGTGTAAAATCATGTATTGATATTTTGAACTCATGGTCGGTCAATCTTAGGTTTTTTTTAAATGTTTAATCCCTTTAATATTATATAGATATAGGTAAGTCACTTTTCATTCAGTTAACTTTTTCTTCTCAAATATCAATCTAAATTTACAAACTTAAAATGAGAATATTGTGATATAAAAAATGACTGGCCATAAGTTTCTCTAGGCCGTGCTAATGCTTCTTTGAAATGCTTTAAGAAAAGACTTGGAAGTGTAATAATCACTATTACTTCTAGTTTATTGCTATTTTCAGTCATCGCTACTGTTCCCTATTGCAATTTACAACTATTAACATATGAAGATTTTGGACTATTATTTGAATCGTTAGGATCTATGGTGTTAACAGGGAAGGAATAAAGATCTTACATCAGGTGGTAAAACACTTATAAAGGAAGGATTTTGACTCTTAGGCAGAAATGGATGCAAGTAAACTACTTTGTTTAATATTTTATATAACGAAAGTCACTTGCGCACGATTGTAAGGATACCTTTCACAAGATCCCTTTCACTATAAGTTGCTTTTTTTTTATAGAATAGGAATTTTATTAATCTCTGAGAACCTTAATACAACCCCTGATCAGCAGGTGTTAACGAACCCCATCAGGTTACTTGAAGAGAAAGTCAAACAAAACAACAAAAAATTAAGAATATACAACACCAAAACACTCAAGTAAACACACCATACCAGTTCACTGTTGTGACTACCTGCCAGGTTCGGTTCATGATTCGCAGTGTTTTGCCCTCCTTGAGACTGTTTGTTGTCGTTCCGTGCTAAAGGATCCATCTCCCACAAAACAGAGTTGCCCAGCCTGCAATGCTATTGTTTAAAAGCTGCCAATGTTGCCCCTGATTTCATGCCAACTACTGCAAATGGAGCCTGCAACTGATGTGTTGAAATTCTGCCTGAAACTGTCCTTGCTCAGTGATGATGTAGTCAAACTAAAATTGCTGCCCAGCTGAGTTCCCTGGCTTACCACAGATTACAAAGTTGTCGCAACTTATCAATGCAAATCAATGTAAGCACAACTCATGAAAAGCAAACAGAGGGCAGTAGAAGATAAGATAGAATTAAAAGCAAGAAGTTACTTCCTTACCTTTCATTCATTTTGTGAGGAAGAAATTGGGGCTGTTTCAAGACAAATAAATATTCTTCTTTTATTCTCCAGTTTACAAAGTGCAAAAATGCGAAATGATTATTGTCAAATTCTGAAGATAATGTTATGAGCTACTAATCCGCAATTTGGTTAAAATAGACCAAACAAATTTCCAAGGGTAAACAATTTATTTAAAAATTTTCATAGTAAGATAGCTGAAATTTTATGTCAAATAGTTTGGTTTGTGTGAGCTATCGCAATATACTATAATGTTTAAGCAAAAATTAGATATCAAATAGTTCTTAGCACTACAATCCAAATGTGTAGAAGAAGATAAACAATACTAAGAACAATAGAAAGTAATAATAGCTCACATAACAATAACAGTTGTGGACAAAATAAAAATCATAGTCAAGAAAACTAAGTAATTTACACAGTAAGAAGTGGAAAACATGAAGAACATCAGAAAACAATAAAAATTTATCTTGTATAGTAGCAATAATATCAGGAAAGGTTTATGCTTTTAAAAATATCGAAATTTTTAAGTTAAAAAATATAAATCAATATTTATCAAATGATTTACCTTAAGGATTTGGAGGAGTCTTAGATGCGTTGGAGCAGTCTTCATAGGTGTTAATGGCATTATGAGCATAGGCCACCCAATCTAGAACAACTTTAGATCTCTTGTAGAAGAAATGATAATTACTGGTATTTCTTTGAGGGTTAAAATTCCTGTTTACAACAATAAATAAAAAGAAAAAAAATCTAAAATCCATTAAAGATTGCGCTATGTTGGATCAACGAAGTCGTCGTGTTGATTCTACACTCAGTTCATCCTTATTACCATTAATAACACCACAAAATTCAAAAATCATTGCTTCAATTCAACAAAAACCTTTTAAATCATAAATGGGGGGATGGAACAGATTGGTCGTAGGTTCGAATCCTATTGGGGAGATTTGATTCATTTTGAATTAAAGAATTCAGAATGAAATGGCTCGCTTTGTCCGTTAGGAGTAGGTCACCGTTCCTTGTATTTGTTTGTATTGTGCATTCTATCTCATCGTATCACATTCTGTTCTGCGATATTTGAGAATCGCCGTCAATACCTCGATGTAGATCTAGGATAATCTTGGGGGAGGTGTGGGGTGAAGATTAGGTCAAAATCTCCAATCTAACAGCTCTTCCAACAAAATATGTCTGTAGTTCAAAACGTCAAAATTATTAATAGAAAGCAAATGCTGGAGGAAGGATTTGAACCTTCAACCTTGTGGTTTAAAAGCCACATACTCTAACCAACTGAGCTACACCAGCCAATTATTTTAAATATGGTGGACATTGAAATATTCTAAACAAACATGGCATTTTTGTCGTATTCGTTCAGCTACTACATTTAAAATCCAATCCCTTCTTACATGTCTTGTGTTCTTCATAAAGATAAAGAAAGGAGAGTACTACATAAGTACATACAAAGAGAAATCTAGGAAACAAAAGAATACGAACATTAAATATGATCATAGCGATTGAACTTTAGATTTCATTTTGAGGCAACACTTAAGTTGGCCGAGTCTAATTGGGATTGATTAAAATCAATTGAATCAAATTTACTTACTTAAGAGCTTAAGATTAAGAAAATTTCAAAAACATTCTGCTTCATCCATGTAGGTCTATGTTTTTTTAGTATTATTCACTTTCAGCATAACAAGCAATATGAAAAACATAAATTTGCTTGGTATGACACCGAAAAAGAATCAGATATATAATAAAAATAAAACACATAAATGAAAATATATAGACT